TATAAATGTAGGCTCATAGATCTATTTCCCCATCCTCATATAATATATTTGTATATGTACATGTCTTTATCTAGAGCTCTATAAATACCCTTTGGATAAAGGCTTTTCTACATTCATCGCATGCATGGGGTTTCTCTCCAGCATAAGTTCGCTGATGAACAATGAGTTCCATCTTCCTGATAAAGGCTTTCCCACATTCATCATACACAAGGTTTTCCAGTATGAGTTCGCTGATTAAGAGTGGTTCTTCTTTCAGCCAAGTGATTTTCCAAAGTAACCACATACACGGGGTTTCTTCTCTGTGTGAAATACCTGATGTGCTGTAAGGTATTGTTTCTGGCTGAAAGCTTTACCACACTCATCACATATAAAGTTTTTGTGCTGTATGAGTACACTGATCAACAGTGAGGCTCCTCTTCCAGACGAAGACTTTTCCACATTCATCAAATACACAGGGTTTCTCTCTCCAGTATGAATTCGCTGATAAACAATGAGGTTCCTCTTCCAGATGAAGGCTTTCCACACTCATCACATACATAAAGTTTCTCTCTTCGGTATGAGTTCACTGATGATCACTGAAAACAATCTTCCAGACGAAGGCTTTTCCACAATCATCACATTCATAGGGTTTCTCTCCAGTGTGAGTTGGCTGATGGACAGTGAGGGTCTTTTTCCTGAGAAAGGCGTTTCCTCATTCAACGCATACATATGTTTTCTCACCATTGTGAGTTTGCTGATGAACAGTGAGTTTCTTCTGCTTTCCGCATTTATCACATATACAGGTTTTTCTATATTCAACACATATATATGGTTTCTCTCCAGTATGAATTCACTGGTGAACAGTGAAACCATTCTTCCTGGTAAAGGCTTTTCCACTTTCACGACATACATAGGCGTTGTCTCCATTATGAGTTCACTGATGATCAGAGAGCTTAGTCTTCCAGGTAAAGGCTATTCCACATTCACCACATGCATGGGGTTTCTTTCCTGTGTGAAATGGCTGGCATACTGTAAGGTATTGTTTCTGAGTGAAAGTTTTACCAAACTCATCGCATACATTAGGGCTTTCTCCAGTGTGAGTTCACTGATGAACCGTAAGGTCTATATTCCTGATAAAGGCTTTTTCACATTCACCACATACATAGGGCTTCTCTCTAGTGTGAGTTTGCTGATGATCAGTGCGCTTACACTTCCAGATAAAGGCTTTTCCACATTCACCACATATATCGGGTTTCTCTCCATTATGAGTTCGCTGATTATCAGTGAGCTTACTCTTCCTGATAAAGATGTTTCCGCATTCACCACATCCATAGGGTTTCTCTCCATTATGGATTCGCTGACGATCAGTGAGCTTACTTTTACAGGCAAAGGCTTTTCCACATTTGCCACATACATGGGTTTTCTTTCCTGTGTGAAATGTCTGGTGTGCTGTAAGGTATTGTTTCTTGGTGAAAACTTTACCACACTCATTGCATTTATAAGGTTTTTCTCCAGTGTGAGTTCGCTGATGATCAGTGTGGTTCTTCCAGATAAAGGTTTTTCAATATTCAACACAGACATGGGGTTTCTTTCCTGTGTGAAATATCTGATGTTCTATAAGGCATCACTTCTGGCTGAAAGCTTTACCATACTCAACACATACATAAGGAGTTTCTCCAGTATGAGTTCGTAGATGAGTTTTGATATGGGCTATATGAGTGAAGCCTTTGCCACATTCACCACATACACAGGGTTTCTCTCCAGTGGGAGTTCATTGATAAGCAATGAAAACACTGTTTCAGATAAAGGTTTTTCCACATTCACCATATACATAGTGTTTTCCCCTTGTATGAGTTCGCCGATGAATAGTGAAAACATTCTTCCAGGCACGGGCTTTTCCATATTCATCATATACATAAGGTTTCTTTCTCGTATGAGTTCGCTGATGAACAGTGAGTTCCGTCTTACTGATAAAGGCTTTCACACATTCATCACATTAATGGAGTTTCTCTCCTGTAAGAGTTCACTTATGAGCAGTGAAGCCCATCTTCCTGATAAAGGCTTTTCCACATTCATGGCATACATGGGGTTTCTCTCCAGTATGAGTTCTCTGATGAGCAATGAGTTCCATCTTCCTGATAAAGGCTTTCCCACATTCATCACACACATAAGGTTTCCTCCAGTATGAGTTCGCTAATTAAGAGTGGTTCTTCTTTCAGCCAAAGGATTTTCCAAGGTCACCACATACATGGGGTTTCTTCTATGTGTGAAATACCTGATGTGTTGTAAGGCATCACTTCTAGCTGATAGCTACACCACACTCGGTACATACATAAGGGGTTTCTCCAGTATGAGTTCGCTGATGATCAGTGAAAACATTCTTCCAGATGAAGGCTTTACCACACTCACTGCATACATAGGTTTACTCTCATGTATGAGTTTGCTGATGAACACTGAGTTTCTTCTGCCCTTCCACATTCACAAAGTATATAGGGCTTTCCATATTCACCACATATATAGGGTTTCTCTCCATTATGATTTCGCTGATGAGCAGTGAAATCATTCTTCCAGGTAAACGCTTTTACACATTCATCACACACACAAGGTTTTTCTCCAGAATGAGTTCTCTGATCAGTGAGCTTACTCTTCCAGGTAAAGGTTTTTCCACATTCACCACAGACATATGGTTTCTTTCCTGTTTGATATATATGATATGCTGTAAGATATCACTTCTGGCTGAAAGCTTAACCACACTCACTACATACATAAGGAGTTTCTCCAGTAGGAGTTCATAGATGAGTTTAAGATGTGTTACCTGAATGAAACCTTTGTGACATTGACCACATTCATAGAATTTCTCTCCACTATGAGTTTGCTGATGAGCAGTGAGATCAATGTTCCTTTTAACACCATGCGCACACTCAGTGCATGCACAGGAGGTCCCTGCCACATGAGTTTTCTGAAGCCACTTGAGATATGATTTACTGTGATAACCTTTGCCACATTCCAAGCATGTATATGTTTTTTGTCCTTTATGTGCTGTTCGATAATGTGCAGTGAGTGTGAATAATTTGTCGAATTCTTGCCCACACTGACTGGATTCATAGGTCTTATCTAGAATATGAATGAACTGACGCTCACAGAAGAAAGACTCTTTGAAGAAGGTTTTCCCACATTTATCACCTCTGTGTGGTTTCTCAATTTTGTCAGATTCCTGATGCTGAACGCATTGTGACTTCATACTACTGGATTTTTCACACCCCATAAAGCCTTTTCCACAATCACCGCACACATCCGGTTTCTCTGCAGTATGAATTCACTGATGAACAGTGTGCTCATTCTTCCAGGTAAAGACTTTTCCACATTTACCATATAAATGGGGTGTCTCTCCAGTATGAGTTCACTGATGAACGGTGAGCTCCATCTTCCTGATAATGGCTTCAACACATTCATCACATAGATGGGATTTCTCTCCAGTAGGAGTTTACTTATGAGCAGTGAGGCAGATATTCCTGATAAAGGCTTTTCCACATTCATCGCATACATAGTGTTTGTGTCCAGTATGAGTTCGATGATGAAGAGTGAGGTTACTGTACCAGGTAAAGGCTTTTCCACACTCACCACAGACAAGGGGTTTCTTTCGTGTGTGAAATCTCTGATGTGCTGTAAGGTATTGTTTCTGGCTGAAAGATTTACTACACTCACCACATACATAAGGTTTTTCGCCAGTATGAGTTTGCTGATGAACAGTGAGGCTCCTCTTCCAGACGAAGGCTTTTCCACATTCATCACATACATAGGGTTTCTCTCTCCACTATGAGTTCACTGATGATCACTGAAAAAAAAATCTTCCACACGAAGGCTTTTCCACATTCATCACATACATAGGGCTTCTCTCTCTAGTATGAGTTCGCTGATAAACAATGAGGTTCCTCTTCCAGACGAAGGCTTTTCCACATTCATCACATACATAGGCTTTCTCTCTCCAATATGAGTTCACTGATGATCACTGAAAATAATCTTACAGAAGAAGGCTTTCCCACAATCATCACATTCATAGGGTTTCTTTCCAGTGTGAGTTGACTGGTGGTCTGTGAGGTTCTTTTTCCTGAGAAAGGCGTTTCCACATTCAACGCATACGTACGGTTTTTCAACAATATGAGTTTGCTGATGAACAGTGAGTTTCTTCTGCTTTTCCACATTTACCACATATATAGTTTTTTCTATATTCACCACATATATAGGGTTTCTCTCCAGTATGAATTCGCTGATGAACAGTGAAACCATTCTTCCTGGTAAAGGCTTTTCCTCTTTCACGGCATACATAGGGGTTGTCTCAAGTATGAGTTCACTGATGATCAGTGAGCTTACTCTTCCAGGTAAAGGCTTTTCCACATTCACCACATACATGGGGTTTCTTTCCTGTGTGAAATGTCTGACATATTGTAAGGTATTGTTTCTGAGTGAAAGCTTTACCAAACTCAACGCATACATTAGGTTTTTCTCCAGTGTGAGTTCACTGATGAACAGTAAGGTCCATATTCCTGATAAAGGCTTTTCCACATTCACTACATACAGACGGTTTCTCTCCAGTATGAATTCGCTGATGATCAGTGCGCTTACACTTCCAGATAAAGGCGTTTCCGCATTCACAACATCCATAGGGTTTCTCTCCATTCTGAATTGGCTGACGATCAGTGAGCTTACTTTTCCAGGTAAAGGCTTTTCCACATACGCTACATACATGGGGTTTCTTTCCTGTGTGAAATGTCTGGTGTGCTGTAAGGTATTGTTTCTTGGTGAAAACTTTACCACACTCATCGCATTTATAAGGTTTTTCTCCAGTGTGACTTCGCTGATAATCAGTGAGGTTCTTCTTCCAGATAAAGGATTTTCAATATTCACCACAGACATGGGGTTTCTTTCCTGTGTGAAATACCTGATGTGCTATACGGCATCACTTCTGGCTGAAAGCTTTACCACAGTCAACACATACATAAGGTGTTTCTCCCGTATTAGTTCCTAGATGAGTTTTGATATGTGCTATATGAGTGAAACCTTTGCCACATTCACCACATACACAGGGTTTCTCTCCAGTGGGAGTTCACTGATAAGCAATGAAAACACTGTTCCAGATAAAGGCTTTTCCACATTCACCACATACATAGGGATTTTTCCTTGTATGCGTTCACTGATGAATAGTGAAAACATTCTTCCAGGCACAGGCTTTTCCATATTCATCACATAAATAAGGTTTCTTTACCATATGAGTTCGCTGATAAACAGTGAGTTCCATCTTCCTGATAAAGGCTTTCGCACATACATCACATAGATGGAGTTTCTCTCCAGTAGGAGTTCACTTATGAGCAGTGAGGCCCATCTTCCTGATAAAGGCTTTTGCACATTCATGGCATACATGGGGTTTCTCTCCAGTATAAGTTCCCTGATGAGCAATGAGTTCCATCTTCCTGATGAAGGCTTTTCCACATTCATCACACATATTAGGTTTTCCTCCAGTGTGAGTTCGCTGATTAACACAGTGGTTCACCTTTCAACCAAAGATGTTTCCAAAGTCACCACATACACCGGATTTCTTCCCTGTGTGAAATATCTGATGTGCTGTAAGGCATCACTTCTAGCTGATAACTACACCACACTCGCCGCATACAAAAGGAGTTTCTCCAGTTCGCTGATGGTGAGTGAAAACATTCTTCCAGATGAAGGCTTTTCCACATTCAATGCATACATATGGTTTATCTCCTGTATGAGTTTGCTGATGAACAGTGTGTTTCTTTCACCTTTCCGCATTCACAAAGTATACAGGGTTTTCCTTATTCACCACATATATAGGATTTCCCTCTAGTATGTATTCGCTGGTGAGCAGTGAAACCATTCTTCCAGGTAAAGGCTTTTCTGCATTAATCGCACACATAGGGTTTTTCTCCAGGATGAGTTCTCTGACGATCAGTGAGCTTACTCTTCCAGGTAAAGGTGTTTCCACATTCACCACAGACATGGGGTTTCTTTCCTTTGTGAAATATCTGATATTGCTTCTGGCTGAAAGCTTTGCCACACTCACTACATACATAAGGAGTTTCTCCAGTAGGAGTTCGTAGATGAGTTTTGAGATGTGCTACCTGAATGATGTCTTTGTGACATTGACAACATACATAGGATTTCTCTCCAGTATGAGTTCGCTGATGAGCAGTGAGATCAATGTTCCTTTTACCACCTTTCAGACACTCAGTGCCTGCACAGGAGGTCCCTGCCACATGAGTTTTCTGAAGCCACTTGAGATATGATTTACTGTGATAACCTTTGCCACATTCCAAGCATGTACATGGTTTTTGTACTTTATGTGCTGTTCGATAATATTCAGTGAATTTGAATACTTTATCGAATTCTTGCCCACACTGACTGAATTCATAGGTCTTATATAGAATATGAATGAACTGATGCTCACAGAGGAAAGACTCCTTGAAGAAGGTTTTCCCACATTTTTCACCTATGTGTGGTTTCTGAATTTTGTCAGATTCCTGATGCTGAATGCATTATGACTTCATGCTACCGGATTTTTCATACCTAATAAAGGCTTTTCCACATTCACCACATACATAAGGTTTCTCTCCAGCATGAGTTCATTGATGAACAGTGAGCTTACTCTTCCAGCTAAAGGCTTTTCCACATTCACCACAAACAGAGGGTTTCCCTCCAGTATGAGTTCGCTGATGATCAGTGAGCTTTCTCTTCCAGGTAAAAGATTTTCTACATTCACCACATATATGGGGTTTCTTTCCTGTGTGAAATTTCTGTTTTGTTGTATGGTATTGTTTCTATCTGAAAGCTTTACAACACTCATCACATACATAAGGTTTTTCACCCGTATGAATTTGCTGATGAACAGTGAGGCTCCTCTTACAGACGACGGCTTTTCCACATTTTTCACATACATAGGGTTTCTCTCCAGTATGAGTTCGCTGATGATCACTGAAAACATTCTTCCAGATGTAGGCTTTTCCACATTCACTGCATACATAGGGTTTATCTCCTGTATGAGTTTGCTGATGAACAGTGATTATCATCAGCCTTTCCAAATTAACCACATATATAGGGTTTTCCATAGTCACCGTATATATAGGGTTTCTCTGCAGTATGAATTTGCTGATGAGCAGTGAATCCATTCTTCCAGGTAAAGGCTTTTCCACATTCACCACATATATGCAGTTTCTTTCCTCTGTGAAATGTCTGATGTGCTGTCAGATATTGTTTCTGAGTGAAAGCATTACCACACTCATCACATACATAAGTTTTTTTCTCCAGTGTGATCCGCTGATGATCAGTGAGGTTCTTCTTCCAGATAAAGGTTTCTCCACATTCACCACAGACGTGGGGTTTCTTTCCTTTTTGAAATATCTCATATGCTGTAAGGCATCACTTCTGGCTGAAAGCTTTACTACAGTCAACACATTCTTAAGGAGTTTTTTCAGTATGTGTTTGTAGATGAGTTTTGAGATGTGCATCTGAATGGAGCCTTTGCCATATTCACCACATACATACGGTTTCTCTCCAGTGTGAGTTCGCTGATGAGAAGTGAAAACAATCTTCCAGGTAAAGGCTTTTCCACATTCACCACATGCATAGGGTTTCTCTCTAGTATGAGTTTGCTGATGATCAGTGAGTGTATTCTCCCAAGTAAGCGCTTTTCCACATTCACCACATACATAGTGTTTCTTTCCTGTGTGAAAAGTCTGATGTGCTATTAGGTATTGTTTCTGAGTGAAACTTTACCACCCTCATCGCAAACATAATGTTTTTCTCCAATATGATTTCGCTGTTGATGAGTAAGGTTCTTCTTCAAGATAAAGGTTTTTCCACATTCACCACAGACATGGGGTTTCTTTCCTGTGTGAATTATCTGATATGCTGTAAGGTTTCTCTTCTGGCTGAAAGCTTTACCACACTCACCACATACATAATGAGTTCGTAGATGAGTTATGAGATGTGCTATCTGAATGAATCCTTTGCTACATTCACCACCTACATAGGATTTCTTTCCAGTATGATTTTGCTGATGAACAACAGTGAGATCACTATTCCTGTTAAAGCCTCTCTCACATCCACTGTAAACACAGAGTATCCCTGTCACATGAGTTTTCTGATGTTCCTTGAGATATGATTTGCTGTGATAAGCTTTGGCCCATTCCAAGCATGTATATGGTTTTTGTCCTTTATGTGCTATTCCATAATGTGCAGTGAATTTGAATACTTTGTCGAATTCTTGACCACACTGACTGCATTCATAGGTCTTATGTAGAATATGAATGAACTGATGCTCACAGAGGGAACACTCCTGAATAAAAGTTTTCCCACATTGGTCACTTATGTGTGGTTTCTCAATTTTGTCAGATTCCTGACGCTAAATGCATTGTGACTTCATGGTACTGGTTTTTCCACGCCTGATAAAGGCTTTTCCACATTTACCATATACATAGGATTTCTCTCCAGTATGAAGTCGCTGATGAACAATGAGCTTACTCATCCTGGTAAAGGCATTTGCACATTCAACGCATACATAAAGTTTCTCTCCAGTATGAGTTCACTAATGAACAGTGAGCGCGTTCTTCCAGTTAAAGGCTTTTCCACATTCACCACATACATAGGGTTTCTCTCCAATTTGAATACGCTGATGATCAGTGAGCTTACTCTTCCAGGTAAAGGATTTTTCACTCAGGGAATTCCATTTGAGTGCAAAATTGTTCTTGTTCAATATCGAGAAAAGTTTTCTGACTTCCATTGAACACAACTGACTTCTTTATTTTGCTGCTACTGTTCTGATTTAATGCCAGAATGAATAAATCTGATTTTACAATTTTGCATGTAAGCCTAATAGCTCATAATTTTCCTTTAGAGGAAATTACTTTTGTGCTGATGAATAGTTTCCAATGTGTTAAATTTATAGCATTGTTCAGTTCTGTTCCCCCAGGTATAATGGCTTCCTGTCTCAAAGACCTGAATGTGAGCATGCCCTCTATCCTTAAGCAGCTTCCAACTTCCTGTAAGGGCTGAGGGGGGCTTTGGCAAGTACAATGGCAACCCCTAGTTCTGCCTCTAGCTACCTAATAGCATCTGTGTACAAATAAGAAATGGGTTTTGAAGAGTGTGAGGTAATGAAAATACTCTGGGGTGGACCTGACCTTTTCAAGGAACTCCATACTGCCCAGTCCTCAACAAACAGGATATATAAGAGCCTCACTCAGGGCAGGAACAATGCTGGGCTTAGAAATGCTTTTGATTTTCCTTTGACCATTCACAGACACCTCTTAGGAAAAATGATCTTTCATTGCAGACTAACACACAAAAGAGTTCAAAAGAATTATCCTACAATAGTCTTAGAAGAAACAAAAGAGCCTCTATTGATAAGCACAGGGTTTCCTCCGATGCAAATTCGTCTTCAGGCACTAGGTTAAAATCTCAGCCTTGGGCAGTGAAGGCTATCAGTTCTCTTCAGACAGGCCTGTGGGTTCCTTGGGAAAGCACAGCCGTGGTCTAATATGCTATTGCTATGTGTTCTCTTGTGTCTGGTGACCATTCCCTGAGGTGAGGGTCTCAGATATCAGTGCTGAATCTATGGGGATGGTTGTGACTGGCGGATTCCAATTATCCTTATTTACCGGCATTCTGTCCCAGGTTCAGCCTCAGGAGTCGGGGCCAGGACTGGTGAAACGCTCCCAGCAGCTGTCCCTCACCTGCACTGTCTCTGGTGTCTCCAGCACCAGCACAGGTTACGACTGGAACTGGATCTGCCAGACCTCAGAGAATGGACTGCAATGGATGGGATACAGAGATTATGATGGTGGTACAGATTATAACCCATCCTTCCTGAGCCGACCCTCTGTCGCCAGAGACACATTGAGGAATCAGTTCTCCATGCAGCTGAGCTCCGTGACTGCTGAGGACACGGCCGTGTATTACTGTACATGGAGCACAGTTAGGGGAAGTCAGTGAGCCCACACACAAATCTCTTCTGCAGGGAAGACATTGGGCAGCAGGGGGCGTGCAGGACCCAATGCACAGACACACAGCCCTAGACAGACACAGATGGATGACAGGATTTCCTGTTGGAATGAGGGCTTCATCTCTTACCTTGCAGCATCCCCTTGGAGAGTATTTCTTTTCCCCACCACACCCTCCTCTCAATTTTCTCCTCACTGCAGCTTGAACGGAGGACCAGATATTAAAGTAACTCTGAAACGTCATATGACCCATTTTCCTTCTCGACAAACAGATTATCATGGTCATTCTCATCCTATCTCTTACTCAAAATGTGTTGACAATGAAACACAGGCATGTACAGATTCATGAGTGTAGTGCATGATTTCAAATGTCCTGAGCTCAATAATCTATTACAGACCTGGGGGCAGGCCTCTGGAGGTCCCTCTGCAGTGCTCCCTTTGCACTGTGGGCAGTTACTGACTGACTAAAAATTGGGGTGACTTCTGAGGCTAAACTTATGGCATATCCTTCGTGATGCTTGCTACTCACCGTCTCCCTTGATGCAGAAACAAGTGTCCCAGGCATAGAAGGGAACAGGTGAACTGGAATGACCTGTCTGGATCGAGGACTCATTTGTAAGATTACTCATTGGGGTCCCAAGGAAGAGAACGCTTGTTGGAAAGAAAAATTTGATTTTCAAAAGATAGCAAATGTGTCACAAGAGGAGGACATTGCACACTCATTTCTCAGAATGTTTTTTAGAAGTAAAGAATAGAGTGACTTATCACGTATTCCAAACCTGTAATCAGGGGAACTGGTTCCTAGAGAAAGCACATCCTGTTTGGTAGAGTGTCCCCAAAACAGAGGAAAACGCTCAGTTAGAAGCACAGACAGTGTGGCTGCAAACATGGTCTCAAACTTCAGAGCAAGTGAGGATGGTTCAGGACCTGGAAGTTTATATATTTGCTCTGTGACATCATGAATAAAACTAACTCAAAAACACCCAACAACATCTTTGATGGTGTGAGGTGCAGAAAATGAGATTAATTTTGGTCAGCTAAGTGTAATTACATAATATAGTCATATATTATAACATTAAATTTTTTTAAATATTAACATTTAAAAGTCAATACATGAACCATTCCTAATTAAGTTACAGCTATATGGTTTTCAATCAATTGGCAAGACAAAGTGTAATCAATAAGTAACAAATACATATGCAAATAAAGGTTTTTTACAACTCCACTATCCCTGGGGGCATAGTGGATTTCACATTGGGATGCTAAGTACAAAGTCAGCAGTTCAAAAGCACCAGCCACTCCAAGGGAGACAGATGAGGCTCTAAAAATGATTTACTAGGATAGTAAATTATAATCCAAATCCAAAGGAGATATTAATCTCAGAGCTTAAATTGTGGGATTCTGGCATGCAGAAGGCCATGGATGACAGTGGAAGCTCAAAATACATTTGCAGGATCTACACAGGGAATACACCTCCTGTGACTTCCCTCTCACCATAACTGAGGGATGGAATAAGCTGGTGATCAGAGAGTATTGAGAGATGACTATAGAAGGTCAAAGTGACACAACTGACTTGGATGATTAGCAACTTGTCATTTGATCTTCCCTTTGATATACTTTGTGATTAACCTGGGCTTAAACATTTTATGTGCTTTTGTTTTATATATTTTGGGGTTTGTTTCTGCTGTGTTTTGTCGTTGTTGGTAGCGTTTTTGATTCTCATATATTTTTCTATGTTTCTTAATTTATGAAGCACAGGGTGCGGGACTCTACAGAGCCAATAAGGGTTCCTGGGGGGTTCAGCAAGAGATCTGGGGAAGTTAATAGAAAGGGAAATTAATAGGAGTTCAAGAAGTAAGAACATGTTTTCTACATGAGTGTACAACACTGCTTGATATGATGTAACTATAGAAAGGGATGATGTCTGGATTAGGTCCTAATAAAAGTGTTTTTGTTTTAAAGAAATAAAATGTTAAAAGATATTAGTTGTGGAACAAATGTTTTAAAGCTTTTTTATTTTGAATACTTTCAAAAGTCATTTTAATAAAATATTGCAAATTAAATAAGAAACCTAACATTGATATGTTATCTAATATATATTTCATAATAAAATTGGCCAGTCTCTCAATTAAAAAGTTTTTCAGTGCCTAAAACCCTAAGGAGCTGATCTACTGTGCTCTAAACGGTCACTGTGAGTCAGAATTCACTTGATGCCAGTGAGTTATGTTACTTGTGTTTCCAATTTGAATCTTATTTTGGTTGCTTATCTCCACTAGTTTGGTTTCTGTATTTTGTTTAATCATATTTAATACTACTGTCAGGAATTGTTCTTTTCTTTCCATTATCTTGGTCTCCGTAGAAATTCCTACATTGTGTTTTTAGGTTAATGATGCTATCTTTTTCTGTGGCATCATTTATATTATCTTTACTAACATGTTAATGGTTTTCCTTTTAAATATACATTTTCTAGCTGTGCTTCAATTTACATGGTAATTTGATAAAAATAACCTTATTCTTTCGTCCATTTGTGTTTTTCCCTTCTTTTATAGTGTAAGGACATCTTAACAGTTATTTCTGTTAACCAAGGTCTGAGGTCACCAACAAAAGCACAGCTTACACACAGGCATTGGATGCAACAGCAGTTTGCTCACACAGAAAAGAGGCAGAAGCGGCACTGGTCTCCAGCCAGCAGTTTCACTCTGCAGCCAGCGCTGGGATGAGGGTTTGCAAGTATCCCTTGTTAGTGCTGCAGTTGAAGAACACTGTTCCCACCTCAACAGCAAAGACAGAGAAATAGGGTTGTGCTATGAGGTGGAATCTACTGGAAGGCATTATGTTGGTTTTGTTGTTGCTTTGTATATTCCATGTAATGTACATAACAATCAGTTTGGGGAATGTTAGCATGTGTTCAGAAGAACATAGAAGAGGGATGTTGTAGGATGCCAGCCACTAAAGAGTGTTTGGGGATCCAGACGCCTTGGGAAAGGCAGTCAGACAGCAAGGTCATCACATTCCAGGAGCCAGACTGACACATTTGGTCCTAAGCACACCTGGGTCTGTTATGGATTCTGGGGAAGGGAAGCCGACTGCACTTGGACTGCCTGCTTCCTCAATTTCCAATCCTATTTGGGTTTATCTCAGATGTATTTTGTCATTGGCAGTAACATTCTTGAATTTTTGTTCCTTGTTTTTCTGTTTTACATTAGATGAAACCCGGAATTGATGAACATACAGAGATAGCAAAGAGAATAAGGGATTCTGGGGGGTTAGATAAAAGGGAGCTGATGCCAAGGAATTCAAGAGGAAGAGGTGTTTTGAAATGGATTTGGGTAACAATTGTACAATACTGCTTGATGAATCTGAACTACAAATTGATATGATTATTAGCACCAAATACCATGGTTGGGGAGGGAAAAAAATGGGAAAATAAATATTAAGTAAAAACTATTCCATTGCTAACTATATTTTAAATTCAAATTTCTGGCTTATGTCATAATCTCTTTTCCGGTTCAGTATTTTAGCAAGCTTTTTGCAGTGTTGTTGTACCAGCAAGACTTTCCATCAGTTTCTGACTATGCTTCAAAAAATTATCTTTCATTTTTTTAACTTATCTTTCTCATGGTACATGTATAGGCAACAAGATATTTTCAACATTCTTCTCATGCATAATTATGTGGCATTAGATTATTATTGGGTCCAACAATTGCCAGAAACTGTAAGATTTACTATCACACACTCACAGAAAACCTTAAAAAATAACTTTGACTTGACAATTCCCTCCTTTACATGGAATAAATAACTCTATTACTTTCTTGTTTCAATTATTTTGAATAGAAGTCTGCTTTAAGTACCTTTTGCTTCCTGTGGAAAGAATGAAGCCTAAACTCTGTCCAATACCTTCATTGTCTTTCAGGCAGATTTGTTCTGAATCAGTATTTTATTGTGGAATATATCTCAATATCATATCCATATAAATATCTATAGATCATACCTCCTTCCGCTGTAACAAATTCAGATTGTTTTCAAGTTGTAGCACTCTCTACCTCCAAAGCTATTCACAGTGAGGGAGAGTCAGTGTGAGTCCAGGCAGTAAAGTAACCTCAGGGAGAAAGCTGACCTGGAGGGATGTACACTCCCACATGCAAATACCAGTCCCATGAAACCACAGCACACCTGGACTTAAATCCATATATCTTCTCACTCTGGAGAGCATTTTCTGGGTGTCAAGAATCGTATCCACATGAACATGAAGCATTTGTGGGTTTTCCTCTTTCTGGTGGCGACTCCAAGTGAGTGCTTCAGGGAGTCATCCATGAAGTCTGGGGATGCAGCATCTGAGCACATGACTCACTGGGTTTCTCTTTATCCCCAGGTGTCCTGGCACAAGTGCAGCTACAAGAGTCAAGCCCTGGACTGGTGAACCCCTCAAAGACCCTGTCTCTCACCTGTGCTGTCTCTGGATTCTCTTTAACCAGCTATGGTGTGGACTGGATCCGCCAGGTTCCAGAAAAGAGGCTGGACTGGGTTGGTGTAATATGGAGTGGTGGGAGCACAGATTATATTCCAGCTCTCCTAGTCCTGAGTCAGCATCACCAGGGACAACTCCAAGAGCCAAGTTTCTTTAAAACTGAGCTCTGTGAATTCTGAGGACACAGCCATGTATTACTGTGCTAGAGACACAGTGATGGGAAGTCACTGTGAGCCTAGACAAAAACCTTAGTACATCAGGTCGTGGTTTCAGCAGATGTGAAAGAGACAAGTCAGTGATATTTTCCTCTGAAAATCTGTGGTGTCCCCACCTTGTCATAACCACTCTAGGGACCACCAAGCTCAGTCTCTAGGGAAACTTCATGTATCTGAACATGCCTTCTTTTCATTGGAATGGGCTTTTTCTGTTTGGCCATTTATCGACAGGCAGACTTCAAATTTATAGGTATCGATGGAATCTCAGTTTACAGTTCAGGGTACTAAGTAGCGCTGTTTGTTGTCAAAGTTAGAAATATTAAATTTAAAAAAAATCCAAACTCACTGTCATCAAGTTGAGGACAATTTATAGTGACACCACTGTGTGTCTCTAAGATTCTAACTGCATATGGGAGTAGAAAGCCCTGTCTTTTTTCTTTGCAGTGGGCACTGGCATACAGCTCTCAGCGCAACATATAACCATTATGGCACCCATCTCATTATAAAAATATTAATGCAGGAAAAAAATTCTCATGTGAGCTCAAAATTTTCTCCAAGCCATCAGATAAATGTTAAATGTTTCCATTCCAGTGAATACTCACAAGTGTGCATTTATGTAATAATTTTAACTTAGAATGACCTAAATAATATTGAATATGTTGAATTCTTAGCTACCCTTGAGTTGGCTTCAACTCCCAGAGATCCCATGAATTACTGCCCAGAAGTGCACTATGATCACAATTATTCCTCCGTTTGGACTCATCATTGCAGCCTTTGTGACAATCCACCTCCTGGAAAGACTCTCTCTTTTTCAATGACAGTCTAATTTACCAAGCACAAGACCTTTCTCCAGGTTGTGGTGCTTCTAATGACATGCTCAATAAGTGAGATAAAGTCTTATTGAATGCTTCCAAGATGCATCCAAGATGTGCTTATTCCAAGACAGACCTGCTTGTCCTGCAGGCAGCACATCTTCTGTCATTTTCCTATCATTTTCTAACTATCATCTTCTTATTTTACAGTACTTTGGCGCTGTTTCTGGGGATAACAATGAGCATGCAGGTGGGGCGGACAATACCGGCATCTGAGTGGGCAATCTACTGTTTGGTATAGCTGTGATCCAGGAAAAATAGGTTCAGCTCTCTTTCAGGAACTGGAAGCTGGAAAAGCAATAAGGTGCCCTTGTGCCATGTGGAGGTTTGGAAGGGCCTGTCCCCACACCGATGGGCCATGTCAGTAGAGGGACAGCAATTCAGAGAATGGGTACCTAGATGGTAAGTCTCAATCATCCGTTCCCACACTTGGTCCAGGCCAAACTCTAGCATCTCTTCCTTTGTTTTGAAACCTTTGTTACACTAACCCTAATGAAAACTCTTCTCGCTGGGAATTTTCTCGTGTTTAATGAGACTTGACTTCTACAAATAAGATTTTCCACATTTAATTCATGGAAAGAACTGCTTTACTAAGTGAAATCTCTGATGTGCTATAAAGAAATTCTTCAGGATAAAACTTTACCTCCTACACCACATATATAAGGTTTTTCTCCAGTATTAATTCGTAGATGAATTTTGAGATTTTCTTTCTTTATGAAGCCTTTGCCACATTCACCACATACATGTGGTTTCTCTCCAGTATGAGTTCGCTGATGCTCAGTGAGGTTCTTCTTCCTGGTAAAAGCTTTTCCACATTCACCACATACATGGGGTTTCTCTCCAGTATGAGTTCGCTGATGATCAGTGAGAGCAGTCTTCTTCATAAAGGCTTTTCCACATTCACCACATACATGGGGTTTCTCTCCAGTATGAGTTCGCTGATGATCAGTGAGAGCAGTCTTCTTCATAAAGGCTTTTCCACATTCACCACATACATGGGGTTTCTCTCCAGTATGAGTTCGCTGATGAACAGTGAGGTTCTTCTTCCTGATAAAAGCTTTCCCACATTCACTACATACATAGGGTTTCTCTCCATTATGAGTTCGCATATGAACAGTGAGCTCACACTTCCAGATATAGGCTTTTCCACATTCACCACATACATGGGGTTTATATCTGGTGTGAAATCTCTGATGAACTATAAGCCATTGCTTTTGGCTGAAAGATTTACCACACTCACCACATACATAGGGTTTTCCTCCTGTATGAGTTCGTAGATGACTTTTGAGAGGTGCTTTCTGAATGAAGGCTTTTCCACATTCACCACATACATGGGGTTTCTCTCCAGTATGTATTTGCTGATGATAAGTGAGGTACTTCTTCAGGTACTTCTTCTTGAGGTACATCCAGAAAAAAGCTTTTCCACATTCTCCACATACATGGGGTTTCTCTCCAGTATGAGTTCGCTGGTGAACTGTAAGAGCAGTCTTCGTTATATAGGCCTTTCCACATTCACCACATACATGGGGTTTCTCTCCTGTATGAAATCTCTGATGTGCTATAAGGTGTTGCTTCTTGCTGAAAGCTTTACCACACTCACCACATACATAGGGTTTTTCTCCTGTATGAGTTCGTAGATGACTTTTGAGATGTGCTTTCCGAATGAAAGCTTTGCCACAATCACCACATACATGGGGTTTCTCCCCAGTATGAATTTTCTGATGAATAGTGAGGTACTTCTTCCTGGTAAAGGCTCTTTCACATTCAGTACATACATGAGGTTTCTCCCCAGTATGAATTCGCTGATGAGCAGTGAGATCACTGTTCCTGGTTGAAGCCTTTACCGCATTCACTGCACACACAGGGTGTCCTTGCCACATGAGTTTTCTGATGTTCCTTGAGCTATGATTCACTGTGATAAGCTTTCCCACATTCCATGCATTTATATAGTTTTTGTCCTTTATGAGCTTTTTGATAATATTCATTGAGTTTGAATATTTTATCCAATTTTTCGCACACTGACTGCATTCATAAGTTTTATCTAGTATATGAATGATCTGATGCTCATAGAGCACAGAATCCTCGATGAAGGTTGTCCCACATTTATAGCACTGCTCCGTTCTGTCCATGTGGCTTTCATGTTGCAAGTGTTCGAGATTATGATCACCAACTTTCTGGATTTCTATAAAAGAATAGAACATTGAATCTTTCCATCATCTTGATCTATAATGGACCTCTTAAAATATGCATTGATACAAGGTAAATCTCTAGTGACAACCCTCTTATATGAAAGTAAATAAGACACTGTATTAGTCTAGGTACTTTGGAGAAACAAATCCACAGCAACTCACGTATAAGAGAGAGTTTTATGCAAAGAAAATGTGCATCACAAAAACATCCCAACCCAATGCTGCCCAAGCCCACAAGTCCAACATTAACCCATACCCAACACCAGTCCACAAAGTTCTTCACCTCACAAA